GCTTTTAGGAGCTGGAATACCAAAGGGTAAGATTTTCTCGTATGGCCACCCCAATGGCAAAAGTTACACCACTCAATTTTCTTACGGGATTTGTCATTAAAGGGAAATGAAAGGGTGGGACACAACGGGAGCCGTATGGGTGCGCGATAACTACGCAATAAGAAAGAAATTAAAGTCACATGTATTCGTTTTTCTGAACTAAAGATGTAGCTGGAAAGATTGTGGAAAGGATAAGAAAGACCGAGAAGAAAGCCTTTAGACCAAGCAAACTATTTGAACAGATGCTACTGGTTAACATAATCAAAGAAGCATTTTGATAGGTGAAAATTCGATCACTGGACATCAAATAATGGCGATCTCAGAAGGCAAGTCACCACTGATCGTTGTTACTCTGTTCAAAATGCCTGATATATGACCACCATTTTGACTTGAAGGCACAAACCAACCAACCAACCAGCCGCAAAAATGAAGGCTTATGCAGAAATTGTGATCCTAGTTCTTAGCTCTTAGGATGTTACTTAGATAAGTTTGAAACGACAGGATAATGCATAAACTTCTGCAAGAGGTTATTTCAGATGGTTTAGGATGTCAGAAATGCATTCAATTGGAACGTTTTAGCCATCATCGTGTTTTATAACTGGATCCGCAGACTTATCCTAGTATGAAGTTACTATATTCAAGGTACAAAATAAAACAGGCACAAAACGAGTCAGAGCTTACTATGCTAAAAGGCCCTCAGATTAAGTCGACTTTACAAGGCAGAGCAGGGCGATTGAGTTCCGGCAGCGACCGGTGAACGTTAATAAACGAGTATCAATATCTCCCAGTCCACACCGGAAAGACAAGGAGCTAGTGGTTCACTATTTAGAGCGTTAGACGCTGATAGAATAGATCGCGAGTTTGGGTCTCCGATGGAGCACCATCTGGATATGGGTATGACTGACTGATGACGGCTAATAAACCAGAAATGGACCCTCCAGTATCCCTGGTATTTATCGTTTATACTATCTGCCTAGACTATTAGCCACTGTGCAGCTGATTTCAGGACCCGAACAATGGGACCCAAGGCAGAGTGGGACGAGTGATTTCGGTTAGCGATCAGTGAACGTCCATCA